TCATTTCCTATATTATACTAAAAATTTATTTTACATTCAAAACATCACATCAACACCTATTTATATCACATCATACAACTATTCAAATTCAAAATTTTTACTATTCAAATTCCAAATTAAAATCCAAACCTCCAAACAAATACACCCTAAAGTCTCCATGTTGTACAGTAAACACAAGAATTTAAATAAAATAATAAAATAATTTAATTAATATAATAAATTATAAATTATAAAATTTAAAATATAACTAAAATTAATAATTAATATTTTAAAAAAAAAAAAAAACAAAATATGTAAAACGGCCAACAAAAATAAAAATAATTGGCACATTATTTTCCACAACAAAAGATGTCAAAAGGGAGTACTTATTTATCAAGATCTCTCTCTGTCGGGTGGAATTAAACTATGTTATGTAAAAAATCATTTATTTGTGCAAAATAATATTTCATCAGTCCCAATACAATAGTTTTGTTTATATTTTTGTCCGTCCCAAAACAATATCCTTTTTTTCATAAATACTTATATCACCGTAAAATTATTATTACTTTTTCATTATTATTAGACAAATATCACTACTTTTTATACTAATACATTCTTACTTTTTTATTATTATTATTATACAAATATCACTACTTTTTATACTAATACACTCACAAGGATAAAAATGTCTTTTATTCATATTTTTTACCGACTATCAATATAATATGAATACCTTTTACATATCGTACCCAACTCAAATAAAATCATAGTTTTGGGACGGAGGGAGTATAAGAGTGGATTGTAAGTTGAAAATTGTAATAAACTAAATTATCCTTCATTAATTACAATATTAAATGGATATGATTTATTCAGCATCTACTTATGGTTTGAATAGTTGTATGATTTTATATTTTGATTTGATATTTTTGAGAAAAAAATTTAATTAATAGTTTAAGTTTTAACAAATCTTCCAAACAAAACACACTCTATGGAGAATAATACTATAAATACAATATGGTGTGTTTGTTTTTGGGTTTTAATTTTTTTAGTCTGAATTTTTCAATAATAAAAAATTGAATTTAAATAGTTGTTTGATATAATATAAATAAAAATTTATATAATATTTAAAATATAAAATAAATTTATAGTATAAATATATATATAAAATAATTATTTGATGTAATACCTTAAAAAAAAAAAAAAACTAAATAGTAAAAATATATAGTAAAATTAAAACAACACAACCTAAATAAATAACAAACACCAAGTAATAATTACTTTTTTCATAATAACAATTACCACTGTTGATAAATCAAACATATACCATCAATTAAACACATTCACTAATAAATTTCCTAAATTACCGCCACAACTTCTGTTTTCTTACTTCAAAATACTACGGACCTATATTGAAATTTAAAATTTGGTTCAAATTTTTCAGATTTTCGGATTTGATCGGATTAAATTTTTAACAAATTTCGAATTTTATGATCAGATCAATTTACTTAAAATCCGAACCAATCCGAAATCCGAAATATAACATTTTAATATTTTTTTTATTGTACATATTTAATATTTTATTAGAAAATATTATATTTTAATATAAAAAACTCAAATTTATTAATTATATTTTAATATATTATATATATTTAATATTATAAAATAATATTAGTTCGAATTTTTATATTTAATATAAAAGAAAATTTACAAATTAAAAAAATAATAATATAAATATTTAGAATTTCAAAATTTTTAATTTAGTTCGAAATTTTTAGTTCGAATTACGAATTTCGGTTCGAATTGATTTTTCCAAAAATTTCGGATTTTCAAATCGGAATACTCACCCTAACCATCATCAAAATTTACACTCATTTAAGAGTACAAATTTTAAGAAAAGTAAATAAAAATATAAAAAGTATTCTTTCAGAGTACAGAAAAAAAATGATATTTTACTAAAAAGCCAAAATATTTTTTTTAATTTTAATGATAGTGTATTTTTTTATTATCCTACCAAGCAACACAAACATATTTTTACCTTAGTAAAGTGCCTAAATAAGTCTTGAAGAAGCAGATCGAAAATTCGATTCAATGCAGCAAAAGCAAAATTGCGATAAAGCTTACTTAATTCATCCTCCTAATGAGTTCGTTAATGTAATCCTCGCGGTTACCAGCATCACCGCCTTCGACGTAATGGTTCCTCTTCTTCTTCAACCCGCCCAGGGGTGCCTTCAGCTGGAATGGCCACAAAAAGTTGTTCGCTTCCTTGAAGTGGGGCCCCACCGTCATGATCTCGTGGATGAGATCTTCCGCGCAAATTATTCCCGTCTTACCCAATGTCTATCAAAAAATCGAAATAAAGCAATTTAAGACGGCTGGGCCCATCAAGAAACAGTAGATTTTGAAAACTACACGGCGTAAGAAGACATTGAGTTAACAAGGATGTAATGATTTGTATTTTGAGAGAAAAAGAAAAGTTTTTGTTTTCAAAGAAAGTTAGGGGTGTGTTTGATTTGTACTATAATATAAAAAAAAAAAATAATTGTTTAATTTGATATTTTTAGAGAAAAAAAAAGAATCTAAATAATAAAAATACGTTGTAAAACCCACAAAAGAACCCAACCTAAGGTTGTGGTTGTTTGGATCGAATTCTTTCTTCCAAAACCATTAAATCAAATACTTGTTTTTATCTTTATATTATAATAATAAAAAAAAACTCTACATAAAAGCATCAAATCATCACTTCGTTATATCAAGTCAAATAACTATTGTAATTCAAAATATAAATCCAAAACCCCACACAAACACAACATAAACAAAAACTCAAAAGAAACACACAAGGTACCTGCTCGATGATAGAGTTGTCTGTCAAGGCAATCCGCTGCTTGTTCACTTTCCCATAGCCTCGTTTGTAAATCAGCTCTCGGACGCTCTTAAGGTTGGGGTATCTGAAAATTTGTGTAATTATGATGAGGGTTTTCCAGACGTTTGTCGTGAATAAATGTTAAGGCATATAAGAGGTATGAGAGAATGTCTTACCCATAAGTAACATATGGCTCGACTCTGTGAAGCATGTTCAGTGTAGCTTTGTTAACTTTCAGAAATACCCCGTTGAAAATCTACAGTAGTTCAAATCAATTTGTTAGATAAATGTTGTGTGCAAACAAATAGGTTCGGAAACTAAATAATTGGCCGCATTCATACCTGTCTCAGTCGCAGAAGCTGCAAAATTTTCTTGGTCTGCGGGTGCATTGCATTAATACTGATAGAGAAAACAGTAATTTAATCATCTATGTTTGAGAATATTAAAGTTATCAATTACATGAATTGTAGTTGAAATGCCTTACCCACGGATTCTAACGATGAACAAAAGCTTGGCCTCGGGACTGACGTAGAAGCCGCCCTTCAAACGAGCCTCACGCTTCAGCTGAATCAGTTGCCTCTCCTAAACATTCAAAGGATGAAAAGTAAAAATTATCACAGAAATTACATTTAATCTAAAACGAATAAAATCAAAGAAATACACATTGATTCCGAAAAATAAGGTAATTTCAACCGTACATTTTCTTCGTATTCCTTGGCATACTCCTTTGCTTTTTTGCAGATTAGCTTGCGAGTCTCAGCGTTTTTCTTCTTTGCTTGCTCGAGTTCTTTCGCCTTTGCAAGGGCCCATTCCTCATTTCGCTTTTGTTTCTTCAAGACTGACTCGGGAACGAGTATCCCAACCTTTACCTCGTCGCTCATCTCTCTATCACATAAATCAATCAAAATAAAATAAGAAATCATTACACGGACTGAAATATCTGATATGCCCAACAATTTGCTTTACTATTAATGATACAAGTTACAGAACATCAAATCAATTCGCACATTGAACCTTATACAACAAAGCTTCCCAAATTTGATCGGAGATCTAGCAGCATTTTGATACAATAAAGGCATACAAACAATAAGTTTCAACATTTTAAATTAACGAACGTATCACACGTCCACCAAAAAAAATAAAATATCCCAATCTTATGAATCTGAACTAAAAATCCCACTGCAATCTCCTTTAGCAGAACTAACACACTACAATTTCAATTACAAAACGAAGATATAGATAGCAAATTAATTACTGTAAGCTTTAACGGCAGCAAATCTGTTGTTAATAATTCCCAGGTACATAACATCTAATTTAATACACACACTGAATCTGATCCTACAAAGCTTCCCAAATCCATCCGATCAAAGAGCACTACAATACTATAAAGTCTACGAAAGATAGTTTTCAGTTTCACCGATTTCAAACAACGATGTATCGCAATGTTCAAAAATAAAATAAATATCAATCTAATGAACCCAAATTAATCAAAAATCAGATTACAATCTTCTGAAGAAAGAAAATCTTCTCAATTCGACGAACAAAACGAAGCAACGGGTAGCAAATTACCTGTTGAAAACTTGAACCGCAGCACCTTCTAGGGTTTCTTCTTTGTTGCAGAGAGAGATCTGCAGACAAAGGGAGGCGCAAACCCTAATATAGGAAATACCATTGTTCTTATTGGGCCTATTCGGACCCATTTATAAGGAGCCAAGAGCCCACTTAACAGCGTACAAAATTAACAACAGAAAGTACAATATTCACTTCAGGCCTAAACCCTAACGCGCCCTGAAAGCAAGGGTACAACATCCACATCACGAGGTACAACATCTGATTATGTGCAAGATAGAGAACTATAGGGAGATGCCATTATTCCTTTTGGGCCTTTTGGCCCATTTCAATAATGGGCCACGAGCCCAATTAACACTGTACAACATTCAAAATCACAAAGTACAACATTCATTGCAGGCATAAACCCTAACGCGTCGAGAAAGCAAGGGTACAACATTTGCTTCACAAGATACAACATCTAATCCAGGTGCAAAATAGCAGAACCCTAAAAGTCTCTGCGCATCTACAAATATTCGAGAACCTTCTCTGAGGTAGAAGAAAGGTTGATCGACGCCACCGCCGACGCAGACTCGTGGTCAATATCTGGTATATGCGCGGGAGCGGTGACGTAAGCCCTAGCCGACTGTCGTTGTTTGTCGCCTTCAAGCCTCGTCAGGTCATCCTTTTGGAGCAGCGGCGGGCCAATCCGTCAGTATCCGCATCAATGGCGACGAAAAAAGAGGAGAAACCAGTGCAATTGAAGGCTGAGGACGAGTATGCTATGATTTGCTCCATTGCTCTATGGCTCGAAAACAAAGGCTTCTCCAAAGTTCTCAAGCGCTTCCTCTACGCCGCACAAATTCAGGTCTGTGTTCGTTTTGATCCATTGAATGGAATACTAATGCTGTCTCTGGGGAGTAGGTTTGGCGTAAATTGTAGATAGTTATCTGCTTCTCTTGCACTGGTGTTTTTCGCCCTTAGCATAGTTGAAAACTAGCCTTTTGGAGTGGAAATAGATGAATTGAATCAACGTAAGATGAAAGTTCATCAATTACTGAAGGTGTTTTTTGACTTAAACATTAGCAAGAAATTATATCAATAAAATAAAATAAAATCTGTGAGAAGATTTAACTTTTTTCACTGGTGTTCTTGCTGTTAAGGAAAACTTACTGTGTGATTATTTGTGTTTTGGAATATATTTGGTGTTTTTGGATGATATTTTTGGATTGGAAAATAGTTGTTATAATGATGTTTTTGGCCAAGAAAAGCTTTTTACCATAGAATGATTGGTTCTTAGTGCAAAAACATACCAAAAATATAAGGAAACATTATTCTCTAACATTCTTGTAGTGAGTGCAGAAACTCTTTGTGGTAGCACAATCATATATGTGAAAGTTATGTAGAGCAGTAAAATGGTTAACTACATTGTTATGCTTTTCAGGACGACAATTGGAAGGAAAAGGCTGTTAACTTAAGTGAGGTTTTCCTGCGACCTGGTAAGGCATTCAACAGAGTGTCATATCAAATTCATTGCGTACTTCAACTATGACAACAACTTCTGAAATTCTGTCCAACACATTTTGCAGTAGTAACGAACCTGAAGATGTGGTACTCAATAAGCAAGGTAAATTTCTGTGTGGTTCTGTAATTCTTTCCCCCGAATTTCGTTCCATTGGTAAATAATCAGTTTATTTGGAAAGCCACTGCTCCTGATGATTTTCTTTTAGCCTTTTACAGAAGAACAGTTGGTTTCTGTAGCCAATGCAAATGGGAAGTGTGAGGAAATTGAGGGTAAGAAGAAGAAGAAGAAAAAGGCCAAGGGCCAAGAATTGGCTACAGACATTGCCGATCATGGTGAAAAAGGTAAACCCGTAAAAGGTTCTGATGATTGCAAAGATCTTGATGTGGTGGATCAATCGACTAAGAAAGAGAAAAAGAAAAAGAAAGACAATTTAACTTCATAATTGGCTACCAACACTGCCAATAATGCCGAAAAAAGTAAACCCGCGAAAGGTTCCGATGATAGCAAAGATCGTGATACGGTGGACCAATCGGCTAGGAAACAGAAAGAGAAAAAGAAAAAGAAAGACAATTTAACATCAGAATCATTAGGTTCGGGTAGAAAGCAGACTGACATGGTGGCTGAAACAAAGAATGAGGATTTAAAGGCGGAGGAGAATGGAGTTAAAGACTCTGAGAAATCTTCTAAGAAAAGGAAAAGAAAAGATTCCGAGGAAAAAGAAAATCAGGTTATTCAGGACGGAGGAGTAGAGGAATCGAAGCCTAAGAATCTTCCTGGTACAGAGGAAGGCAAAGAGAAGGAAACTCATCAAGGGGCTGCCCGGGATATTTCTGATAAAGGAACCAATGGAAGTGCTGAAGCTACTCTTAATAATAAGGGAGTCGATAAAAGTGAGTCAAAATCTGCAAAGAAACAGCGCAAGGATTCCGACGAGGTGCCTTCTTTATCTCCCTGCTTAATGGTTTTGACATCTCTCGCATTTACGACCTCTACTAAGTTACTAACTAATATGCAACTATTACGATTCAATACCTACCTAGATGTGATTTTCTTTCAGTAGGCAAATAATTGTTTTCTTTCTGTCATTTTGTTGCTGTTATTATCTTCGAATCATGATTTCATTGAGTTGGATTCGCAGAAGATATTGACAAAAATGATTTCTGTTCTTTTGCAGCCAAAATCAGTAAATGCCTTTCAAAGAGTCAAGATCGATGAAGTAAAATTTGCTGATGAGAGGCTTCAAGATAATTCTTACTGGGCAAAGGTAGGTTCGGCTTTCCTTGCTTTACTTTTTGCTTAAATCATGTTTGCTACAATATATATATATATGTATGTATGTATCTTGAAGTAAATGCTTTTCTAACATTAAATTGATTGAATACCTTCACTAATGTTCCGACAATTTTAATCTTCTCAATTGTTTTGCTTATTGCAGGATGGTGCAGAGATCGGTTATGGTGCAAAAGCGCAAGAAGTTCTCGGACAAGTCAAAGGAAGGTGTGTTTCTTCATGATTTCCAAACATTACCTTTCTTTATAGCTTTGTAAAGTTTGCACCCATAGTGTGTTTGATGTTTTGGATTTGACATATTTGAATGAGAAATAGATTTCTCGATGTTATATTATAAATGAAAAAATAGACATTAGATGTTACGGTCTTTTTGGTAGAACATAATATTTTTCCATAAATTGCATAGCTTGAAAACATTACAAAATGATATAATATTTTACCATAAATTGTATAGCTTGGAAACATTACAAAATGATATATAAGAGACGATGTTTTGTGCTGAATGATTGACTTTGGATTTAGTATATAATATATTGTTGACTTTGTTCTCGATCGATATATATCCATTTCCATTCTTAGAGTTGCATCTATTAGCTTCTTTGGGTACATTTTATACATCTATGTTTGGTTCCCCGTTGTATGCAGGGATTTCCGGCATGAGAAAACCAAGAAAAAGCGCGGTAGCTATAGAGGAGGACAAATCGACCTGCAATCGCATTCGATAAAGTTCAATTATTCGGAGGAGGAGGAGGAGGAAGACTGAGGCAAGGATGGCTTCCTTCGAGGTGATTATGATCAAATCTTGTTGCAATTTTGTAGTGAATTATGGTGATAATTGAAAGAAAGATGTGTGTGATTTTTACTTGTTTAAAACCATAAATTGTCAAATTATTATTTATATCGTAATGGTTGGTTTCCTCAGCCTTGGTTCTTTCTTTGGCTTTGTGGTTTGTATTTGAATTTATTTAAATAGTAATTTTGCAATGGAAGTTTGGTTTGAAATATAACCCTAAACTTCACTCATTTTTAAGTATAGTTATATCTTAGCCCCGTAAAAGATGATCCGGTGGTGTATTTGTAGCCCATGAGGTCATGTGCGCATTTTGGGTATTTATTTTTCACTTTTTAATATTATGTTCGTTCATTAAAATTAATCCACTTTAATTTGGTAAATAATAAATTGTTGAAATATTTTTGAAAACATACTTAGAAATTAAACTAAATGAAAAAAAAAAATAAATATTGATTTCTTAATTTTTGCCAAAATTAGTAATAAAATAAATTAAAATAAAAGTAAAATAAAAATAAATTTAACAAACAAAAAAAAAATTATTTATTTTCTAAAACTCTATATATAAGACTTATTTATTTTTATTTTTTTTATCTTCAAAAATATTGAAGAAACATATAACCATGCACGGGTAAAAGTTTCTAAATCCGATGGTAATTTATTAATTATTTTGTAGCGTATGATTTTATTAACATCATCTCAAAAAAAAAATACTTCAAATAACATAGGCAAATCCATTCATATTAAACCAAAAATATAAGAAACAAACCTAGCTATTTTGAACCGAAATCATTCAAGCTAAGGCCAAAACCATAACTTAGAAGATCGACAAATAAAAACCGACAACTCAACTATTTAGGCATATCTACATCAAATATCTACCATTTTATTTTACATTCAAAGCATTACATCAAATTAAACAACACAACAGTTCACATTCAATTTTTTTTTTTTTTTTTATCGAGCCGTTACATCAAATTAAACCACCGTATGTCTACAAGCCTATCAGGATCTTCGTATCTTTCAAATCATGCACTCTTAACACAAAGATGCATTTCAAGAAAATCTTAACAAAAAATCCCTAGAGCCTTCTTCTAACATTCCCACCCAATTTTTTAAGTGCACAAATTTCTATTCTCATTTCTTTTTCCTAGCAAAATGCCAAAAAAGAAATTAGTAAAACTAATATTTCGGGGGTACCTGGTGGAAGGTCGAAGGGAAGTCCAGCTCGGCCGGGAGTGCACAAAGTATTTTTTTTTTTTATCTCGTCCACCTCCAGAAAACAATGAGGATGACGATTGTTAAAACCATGCCGGCATATTTGATCCATTTGTCAACACGGCTGCGCCTCTCGATGAGCTTCAGCAGTGAGTTTGAAAGCCCTAAAGTGTTGACAACATCCAGGGCTTTCCTTTGAGCTCTCTGCATCAATGGAAGAAACCATGGTAACAAAAATGAACATTTAGGAAAACATATAATCTTTTCGCGGATGAGATACATGAATTTTTCCAATTTTTTCATTCATTTCGAACTTACACCAATTGATTAAAATAAATCATAACCAGATGTATAGAAGGAACTAGAAACCCAAAAGCGTCTTATCTTGTGTATAAATTAACAATCAATATATAGGGCTCAATTTGTTTGTGGTTTGCAACTCAAACATTAGTATTCAATAAAAAAAAATTTCCCTTAAAAAACATCAAATAAAACAAGTATTTTTTTATATTAAATTAAAAATAAATACTACATTCAAACTACCATATAAACATCTACTTATATCACATTCGACTTAAAATTTTTACTATTCAAAACCCAGAAATTCAACTTACAGTACCTAAGGGTTGTGCTCTTTTGTCAATTTTTTTTTCCTCTAAAAATATCAAATCAAATAATTATTTTTCTTTTTTTATATTATACTACAAATTTATTTTATATTCAAAACATCATATCAACATCTATTTATATTGCATCAAATAGCTATTCAAATTCAATTTTTTACTATTAAAAAATCCTAACCTAAAAATCCAAACCCACAAACAAGTGTTTATTATATTTTCGGTCTTATGTTTTGCACTATGCAATCTAGAGGGCAAAAAAAAATCTTGCACTTAAAAGAATCACATCGGATGCCTAAACTCTATTATCCATTTAAAACATTACATTTGACGCCTTATTTTTGTTCAAAATGTTTCGAGTTTACGACACAAACAACATACCCTAGATCATTATAGACTCAGTTTGGTTCTTAGAGAGGGCTGATATAAAAGGTCAGCTTGCACTTATTAAAATAATAATAGTAGATGCTAACAAATACCTAAAGGAAGGCAATTTAACTCCATTAAACCATATCCCGGACTTGCTAGTGAACTAAATAGATTAGAAGCTCTAAGGTAATTCGTTAAAGCGCAACTTGAACCGAAATCAAGATCACGAAACCTAATTTTTCATGCACTTTCTATGGTTAAAACTTGAAAAGACACGATGACAATATTATGGAAATATTTCACATATGTAATTGTGTTTCAATACTTAATTGAGTACGCAATCGGTGCTTTGGAATGGTTACCTTTAAGTGATCTCGTTGCTCGCTATACTTGTTAAGTATCGCAACTCCAGTTGCAAAAGACTCTTCTAGTACCCTGGATGATCTGCGGACTGATTCCACTGCCTGTGCCTCGTCGTAAAAAATTCTCAGAACATGTGAATCCCCACTCTGGAACAAAAGAAAAGTTGGCATCAAACAAATGGCTCGACTTAAACAAGGAGAGCAAAGACAAATGGCTTCAAATCAAGAAAAGGAAAGTACAGCTCTTCCAAGTAATTCTGCTCTCTCTTGTGCTTCTTGTATTCGTTTCTGTTGCCTTAATTGGTATTTGTCCAGACTTGCTCTAAATGAGTCAGCCTCCTCGCTAACTTGTTCTATTTTTCTGTAAGAACGAAATTATACCCAAATCCATAATAAGAAAATGAAATGTAAGAGCACGCATACTGACTGAGAAGATCGGGAACATGTTTTAAGCTTATAAAGGAATTGTGTAACGATTTCATTAGGAAGATGTAAGAACAGAAGCACCAGCTTCTTATTCTTCAAATGCAAGATTCCACGCCATTATTAAAAATTTTAAATAAATAAATCAGTATCAACAAAAATTCTCTTAGGGTAGGCTTGGTTACTATTATTTAATCAGATGGAATATTTTTCACAATCATGATCGTTATATAAATCACATCAACTAAAGAATCTACTTAAAGCTCACTTTCATCCTGATTGTGGTTGAACTTTCCGTAAACAGAAAGACAGCTTGAGTCAAATTACAATTTATCAAGTGATGTATTTCTTCAATCCAGAAGAACTACGAAAGATATCAAACTAATATAGGATGAATCTAAACATCTCGTCCTAAAAGGATAACCTTCGACAGTTCTAAACATTTTATACTCGGGGAATGCTTACTTTGTTGCACTAATTAAGATTTAGTAGCAATGTGAATGAGATAACTTCCACAGTTCCTACAAAACAA